GCTCTCAGCAAGCCAACCCTCCTAGGGAAGGGAATTCAAGAAATGGAATTGAATTCCCATAATTCACCTGCTCAGGAACCTACAATAAATTCCTATTACATGTAGCATCAAGGCCAAGATCCTCCCCCTGGCTTCTCTTACCAAATTATTTTTCAAAGTGGCTGCACCATGGTGGTGGCGAGCCCCACCATGTCTACACCAGCAAATCAAAGATGTAAAACTCCATATTCCGTGTTTCTTTAGCTCCTCACTGAAAGGGGAGTTCCCTTTCTTTGTTGTCCTTTCCCCCCTCAGTCATCTTCCTTTCTACACCCCCCATTAAAATCCACACAGGCCCTTAAAGGCTCCTCTAAGCCCAAGCTCTTTGATAAACCTCCCTCAACTCCTCCAGCCCTCAGCAATGCTGTCCTGAGCCCCTGCTGCACTTGTGTGCTCCATAGCACCAGTCACTGTGCAAACAACAGTGGTGCACAGAATCGCACTCGACCACCCAATGCCAATGAGCAGTTATTGAACAGCTAGTGAAATTCACGGCACTGTGCAGGCACAACACATTCATGCGAATGCTGTTTCCTCCTGCCATCAAATGGGGGAATCAAATCCAATGAGATAAAAGATCCTTCCAAATCTACAATTCCACTCTTTCATCCATGCTATATTGATTCAATTTTGAAGTTTAAGCTTAAAATTAACTCCAGGTTTCCAGTGGAGGAAACTTTCCAAACCCAAGCCAGTGTTTTCCAAAGATCCCAGCATTATCTTCCCCCACCCCACCCCCCTTCTTTTTGCCATTGAACGCGCTGGGCCTATTAATGATCGAGCTTCGTTCGGTTCAGGGCCTCTGTGATTGGGTCTGCAGCTTACACTACAAGACCGATCCAAATCTCAAAGTTAACTTAGTATGAGGTTGCAACCCCTCTCCCCCTCGCCACCATTTCAAGAAACAAAAACAAAACAAAACAAAAACCATTCGCATTGAAGAGGCAGAGTTTGATCCCTTCCACGTTGAGTGCTCAAAACAATAGGAGCTTTCCGCTCTAGTACGACTTCAAAGGGCTACCGAGTGACTGCTCTCAGAATACTTGGTTGTGGTGACTGAAGAGACGAACAGGCATCCTCCTGCAACTTGGGGCCCTGTTAACACCTTAATAAAGCAACGACTCTGTACTTACTAACTAGGCAAATGCAGGAAACTGGAGGGTTGAGCCTTTAGGAGAAGGGGCGAGATCTGGGCGCTTAAGCAACACCCTGCTTTAAAAAGCCAATGAACTAAGAATTTGTTAAAATGACCTAAATAATGTGATTTTAAAAAAATCAACTAGAGATGGTTGGATTGACTCCAGAGGCATGATTCCTCAGTTGCAGGGTGGAGGATCACTGAAGCGAGGTACCAGGCTTGGCCGCGAAGTAGCAGCACCCCAGAGTTCTCAGCAAACACCTTCCCCTGCTCCCCCTTGCCTGTAGTGGATCCCAGAACACTGAGCAGGCCCGCCAATCGCAAGAGTGCGTCCGCTAGCTCGCCTACCCACCTCTTCTCGCAGGTGGCATCCAGCCAGCGCTGGCCACCAGCCCTGCAAAGAAACTGATTGCAAACTCCCCACGTTGGAACCTGCTGCTTGGAGAGCAGCGTGGAGTGCGACTCCTCTGCTCCAGCAGCTTCAGGGAGGCTTGTATGCAACCTCTCCTTGGTGCTGGAGTTAAAGTTTGCTCCCAATTTGCTGCTCTCCCCACCCTATAACCACCCTACCCTGGGGCTAGAGGACCACGGAGGACTTCTTGGGTCCACGGGTGCACAAGCACACCCACCAACAAAAGAAAGCCCATTAAATCTTCCCTCCTGTGAACTCATGCCCCAACGGATGCCTCTTTGAACTGACCCCCAACCCCCGCAGCCTCCGAGCGGTCTGGGGCGCTCCAGGCCCTCCCAGGCTGCGCACTTTTGCAGAACGCTTGGTCTTTGATGTCTCTTTACATTATCGCAGAGCAGCCCCAAGTTCTTCCCCGGTGCGAGGCTTTGTGTAACGCAGCTGACATTTGGCCTTGATACCTGTATCTCTTGGAGATTGCAACAAATTTCTAAAATAAATGTTGTACTTTGATCTCCCAGCATTGCATTTTTAATGGATGCTGCGAACATCACTTCATTAAGAATAAGTTTTCAGGAGCACAAAATGCAAAGGGAAGGAGGCTAAATGGCAGTTTGTAAAAGTCTCTCCAAACTTCAGCTTGCGCCTGGGAGGGCTGGAATCTTGGCGGATTTTCACAAAACGTAGATGAGGCCAAGAGAAAGGATTCCGAACACTCAAGAGAGAGCATACCGTGCATTGTCCCGGGCACTGTCCTAAAGATTTCACTTATACTACATTGTGTTTAAACCTACAAGCACACTACAAGTGAGTACTGTTATAACCCCAACTTTGGAACCGTGAAACTGGGGTACAAACAGACTGAATAACTTGCTTGTTAAGGCTACCAACTAGAAAATGGAAATCTGGGTTCGGATTTTCAGAGTTCGAACTCTTAACCATTAAACCATCACTGTTTCGCCTTGCTGGCAACTGGTGGTGGTTTAATTGGCTACGTGCGGGTATCTTAAAGGGGAAAAAAGTTCTCTCCTATAACAATCAAAGAGATGTGAATTAGCTTTTCTTGTCTTTTTTTTTTTAATAGCGAACAGATTCAGCTAGTGAGAATGCCTTCCAACTCGCTTGGTCCGGCCTCCTGGAGACAGGGGGTGTCGAAGAGCTCAAGGGATTGCGAAAGGAAACATGCGAAGGGGCCAGACCCGCTTGCCCAGTGCGGACAGGTGCCGGCGCGGCTGTGCGCCACGGGACTCCCTGGCCTCTGACTTGCATCCAGGAAAGGGCTCCTTCTCGTCCCCGGCTACACGGGACTCGATACCCTGGACTGGGCTCGAAAAGGGGTAGGTCTACCTGGCCTCGGACCAAAGCACTTCTCTCCCAGAGCACCCGGACCTCATCTTCAGGAACCAACAATGCCGCTGAGCTGTGCTGCCAGGGCTCAGCATTTCCTGGATGGCACTTTGTTAGAGAGAAGGGGGCCGTGCGAAGAGCTCATTGTATTTGGACCACTTGCGGCCCACTTGTCTCAAGCAAGATGTTTCTATTTCACTGACTGGCCCTAGGCGCGGGGAAATGTCGGTCTGGTGGCATGTGCCCTGACCCCTTGGTAAATGCAGAGGGCACAGATACACTGCAGCCCAGTCCCCATCCGAATCAGAACCCCGTTGGAGTTCTGTTACCCGGTCCTTCCTCTCACGTCAGTCCCACCCCTCCACCCCCACCCCCGTGGGGTCCCTGGGAAGACAACGTGCAGGAAGCGCTAGATGACTCAAAAGACCCCTGCACCCCTCTCCCCCACCCCCACCCCGCAGCCTAGGAGAAAGGACACTGTGTCCACCGGGAGGCCGGATATGGAGCCCAGTGGGCGAGGCACTGGAGGCCCCAGAGCTGCGGCTGCTGGCTGGAGGCCTCAGAGGCTGTTCCGGACCCCTAATCCTCTCCAGTGCCATAGGGACCCCGCCGCGCTCCGTCTGCCTCTTTACCCTGCCCCAGCCCTCCCCCCATCCTGGTGTTCCTACAGCTCCCGGAGGACCCCCTTTGCACTCTTGGCCAGAGAAAGGCTGGCGGCCGACTGTCCCTCCTGGACTGGGCATGAAGGGCCAGCGAGGGTTTGGAGGGGACACACCGTGGTGAGCATTTCCCTGACTCGGGCGAAGAACGCTCCGCTCCTGAAGAACTTTCTTTTCTTTCCAGAGGTGATGAGAACAACCGTTTTTGTTGATTTTTCCTTCCGATTAGAGGACTATTTGTCCTGGTAGGTATTAAAGTAGTTCGTTAACAACAAAAGACTTCCTTGGCCTGGCCTTACTTTATTCAAGTAGTTCCCGGGTAGGCCCGTGCGGCTTACAAGAGCGCGCACTCGCCTGCCCGGCCCATGGGATGAAATCACCAGCATCGCTGGGGGCTTTCAGTGGGGCCTCACAGCGGTCAGTGCCTCCCTCTACCGGGTCCGGGGCTGCCGGCCTGGACGAAGAAGAGGGAGAAGACAGCAAGCATTACTTCCCCTAGGGTGTGTATTCTGGGTTGCTCTGGGTGTCCTGCCAAGCTCGGCTTTGCGGGTAAATGCAGCGCGGGTGTTTTTCCCAGGCTCACTATTTGCTAAAGTTGTGGCCTGAGAAAACTTCCAAGTTGCCAGCAGGAACGTCACAAGAGAGCCCCAGTAGCTGGTCAGGCAGGCGGCCCTGAAGCGTGCGCGCCACCCACTGCCACCCTGGGCGGCCGCCCGGCCCCGCCCCGGGTCACAGCTTAGCCCGCAGGTTCACCACCACTGGCAGGGGGGCACGCGGCGAGCAGGCGAGGTGTGTCCCACGCCCCGCCCCGGGAATTCCCTTGGGTTCGCGGTGCACACAGGCTGTTCCAGTGTGGGTGTGTAAGTACCGGGGAGGGGAGAATTACCCTCATCTCCGTCTCGAAGTCCACGCTTGGAAGCTGAAGACAGATTTCTCTGAAGATAACAAAGACACTTTGTCACTTTGGGCGCTGCCTCAATGCAAATCTTTAATTGCAAGGGAATGGGGGAGGGGATAGAGTGTCTCAAGCAACCAAGCGCGGGTCTCCAGGCGGCAAGGCCCCCTTTGATCAGGAAAATCCAATTATTTGTGTATATACATTTCCCACATAGTGATTACTTCATTAATTGTCCCGCCTTTATCTCCTCCCTTCCCATCCCCCCTAATAATCAGTTCTTTTATCCAGACCAACAAACACACCATAGGAGCTTTGTGGATTCAAAGGATTTGCTTTCGCTTCTGAAAGAGCCGCTATTCTTTGATGATTGGGTAGCGGCAAACTTCAAAGCCATAAATCTTCCCTCTGACTGGCTGGCGGCCCAGCAAAGTCCTTATCAAATTCTTGGAGGTGATCCTGAAGCGCTCAGACCGCGCGCAGGGCGAGCGAGTGGTGTACGGTGAGGGGCGCAGGCGGGGAGGGCCCCAGCTCGCGGATCGGGCGCAAGCTAGGGACTCTGGGCGGCTGTCCGTCCTCGCCTTCTGGTCTCCATGCCTCGGCTGCGCCCTGGTCCGCAGCCAACTGCCCGCAAACTGTAGCCATGACCGCCGTTGCCGTCCTCCGGAACGACTCTCTGCAAGCCTTCCTTCAGGTCAGGGGGCTGGGCTCGGAGGGGGCGAGGGAAAGATGGAAGGGTCCTGTCTCGATCTCTCCTGGTGCTCTCTAAACCCTAAATCTCCAAGAGAGCCTTGTTCAGTCAATGCTGCAGAAGTCGGACTTACGGGCGCCCAAACCAACTTCACACCTAACCATAGAGTCCAAAGTGAGGCCTTTGGGGGAGGGACGCGCGGATCCTGGGGAGGTACAGGGGTGCGTCTGGCTGAGAACAAGGCCCGAGCTCACCCAGCTGGGCCCTCTTGCTGATTTCAGCTTGGGGTGGGTGGAGCAGGAGCCGGAGAGTAATGTGGAAACAGAGCTTGAAAGATGGGAGGGGGGGGGGCGTATACGCAGTCCGGCTGTGGGTGTTTTCAGGCCCTTTTTTACCATGGAGCCGGGAGTCCCCAGTCGGACCCCTCTCCCCTCCCAGTTGTGCCTGCTTCCTCTAAGACTGGGTAGCGTGTCTTTTAACCAAGTGCAGCACTTTAGCGGGAAGCGCTCATGCGCTCCTTGTGCAGGTAGCGCAGGCACCAAAAGTTTCCAGGGACTGGTGGATGCGTGCGTGGGGTGCGGTGGCGGGGGAGGGGCAGCAGGACGGGGGAGGGGCGGCGGTATAATAGCTGGCGTGGGGGTAGCGGGCTGGCCCGGAGACTGCGCTTGAAGCGTTAACCTTTTGTCTCTTCTCCGCCCTCCCCCGCCGCCGCCCATGCAGGACCGCACCCCCAGCGCCTCCCCGGACCTGGGCAAGCACTCACCCCTGGCGCTGCTAGCCGCCACTTGTAGCCGTATCGGCCAGCCGGGCGCTGCTGCACCCCCGGACTTCCTGCAGGTGCCCTACGACTCAACGCTGGGCTCGCCTTCCAGGCTTTTTCACCCGTGGACCGCCGACATGCCAGCGCACTCGCCGGGCGCACTGCCGCCCCCACACCCCAGCCTGGGGCTGACGCCGCAGAAAACGCACCTACAGCCGTCCTTCGGGGCGGCTCACGAGCTGCCGCTCACCCCCCCTGCTGACCCCTCGTACCCCTACGAGTTCTCACCGGTCAAGATGCTGCCCTCCAGTATGGCGGCGCTGCCCGCCAGCTGCGCGCCTGCCTACGTGCCCTACGCGGCCCAGGCCGCGCTGCCGCCCGGCTACTCCAACTTGCTGCCACCACCGCCACCCCCACCGCCTCCCACGTGCCGCCAGCTGTCCCCCAACCCGGCCCCCGACGACCTCCCATGGTGGAGTATCCCGCAGGCGGGCTCCGGTCCGGGGACCTCCGGGGTTCCGGGGGGCAGCCTGTCCGGCGCCTGTGCCGGTGGACCCCACGCGCCCCGCTTCCCTGCATCAGCGGCCGCTGCTGCCGCCGCCGCTGCTGCAGCCCTGCAACGGGGCCTGGTGTTGGGCCCGTCGGACTTCGCGCAGTACCAGAGCCAGATAGCGGCGCTGCTACAGACCAAGGCCCCCCTGGCGGCCACGGCCAGGAGGTGCCGCCGCTGCCGCTGCCCCAACTGCCAGGCGGCGGGCGGCGCCCCGGAGGCAGAGCCGGGCAAGAAGAAGCAGCACGTGTGCCACGTGCCAGGCTGTGGCAAGGTGTATGGCAAGACGTCGCACCTGAAGGCGCACCTGCGCTGGCACACGGGCGAGCGGCCCTTCGTATGCAACTGGCTCTTCTGCGGTAAAAGCTTCACGCGCTCGGATGAGCTGCAGCGGCACCTGCGGACTCACACTGGCGAGAAACGCTTCTCCTGTCCGGAGTGCGGGAAGCGCTTCATGCGTAGTGACCATCTCGCCAAGCACGTCAAGACGCACCAGAATAAGAAGCTCAAAGTCGCTGAGGCTGGGGTCAAGCGGGAGGATGCGCGGGACCTGTGAGCCCACCCGGGAGCAACTCTAGGCCTTTCCCCGCCTCGGACTACCCAGCACCTCTTCATGGAGGTGTTGGGGGCCTGAGGGGAGACCCGAGAGATGCATTTGCCCCAGCTGTCTGCCTCCCAAAGCGATGCCAGGATCCCAGCTTCCCTGGCCCGGCCCGCGGACAGGGACCCTGTGCCCAGAAGGAGCAGGGGAGGTAGGGTTGGGAGCTCTGCGGAAGGGTGGTTTCAAGCTCTGAACCATTCCCACCGTCTGAGAGACCTACAGTTTTGGGGTGGGAGACCTCACCCTGGGCTGATCTTGTATATAAGAAAGGCTGCTGAATTAAAGTGGAAGAACCTTGGCAGAGTTGAAACAGTGCTGGGTTTTTTGTTAGGACAGGGCCGGGCTTTGTACAGGTTATTTAATAGCTTTGTTAAAGAATAATTATAATAATTACAACATTAATAAAAATGTTAACTTTTGTCCTCAGCTCCATGCAGAGCTACAGCATGAAATGTCTATGTAAAGCAATCAGCAGTTGCAGCGTGAAAATAAATACGTTAACTCTTAACTCCGGGGTCACCTCTGGAAGACCCCGCTGAGCCGGTCTCATTTGATCTTTTATTCTTCCGGGAGGCTTTACAAAGCGGTCAGGTTTCACCAGGAATTTGGAGCTTCCTGGAGGCTTCTTTGGTGGAAGGTGCTGGGGAAGCGTGTTGGGTGCATGGATGGAGGACATAGGTAGGGCAGGGTCAGTTTGGTGGTACAGAAGGTAGGGCATAATTTTCTGATCACACTAGGAGTCTCTTAAGCGGCCTTAGGACTTGACCGGAAACTGCTGGGCTTCTCTGAAAAGTTTGAAAGTTGCTGCGCATACAACACATGTTCTTTTTATCTGGCGAATTCCCCGTGGCTTTCCATTTGTTGCTACTCCAGAGACGGAGGTCACACTCGAGCTTCGCTTCCTCCTGGCAGCTGGGAATGCTGGTGTCTGGAGAGGTCCTACGACTCGAGGATCTATTTCCAGAGATTTTGGAGAGTTACAGAGAAGCTGAGGGTCCTTGTACAGGTTGGTCTCTGCCCAGGAAAAAGGCATCACTCCTGCACTTCCGCCTCATCGCTGACTTGCTTATTTTGTCTTAATAATTGTGCTTGCAAATCTTAAGTCTTGTTGCACAATAGCCACTTCAGGACTTCTGTCTAGGCCTGTAAGTTTAGTTCCGGTTTGTATCTTGGGATTTTATTATTATTTTTATTTTTTAATCATTGAAGTAGACTAAGATTTCCTCAGGGAGGGGCCAGGAATACTCATCTGGGTTTCTCCTGACTCTAAAATTTGAGGTTTTAAAGTTTACAAGTGTTTTTCCAAATGGCTCAACTCAACTGGCTCATTGATGTTTTCTGGTATTTGAGTTTTTAAACCTGAAACTGAAACTTTAATCTTATGATATAGAATTAGCAAAGAACAGAAACATCCCAAATTTTGTTAATATGTTAAGCTAACATCATTAATGCCAAGTTTCAGTGGAACCAAATAATCTCGTGGTAGTAGAAATGTGTATAAAGTGATAGGATTTCACAGTTTACAAACTGCTGTCACCTTGCCTTTTGTCTGAAGTCAAAGTGAAGGGTAAATTCTTAAAAGTTGTGAGGGTTGTACTTGAGACTATTAAGTAAAACACAAACATCAACATAATTGAGATTAAAAGTACTGTTACACTCCTAAGAAATAGCATTTTTATTCTATTAACTTGGGACAAGGTAGTAAATAAATATTAGAACCATTGTGGAAATATGCCTTAGACCCAGTTATTCTCATGAGAGATTTTGAACTATTTAATGACAAATTAGACTGGGAGTCTTCAGGGTTCTGTACCAGGGAAGGGCAGTTTGCACTAACTAAATTTGCAAGGATGTGGCAGTTTTATGAGCAATAGGAATAAGAAAGATGCTAGAGGGTAACATTAATACACATTTAAGTGTGCAATCTTAATCAAGGTTCTTGTGAATGATTTCTATGAAGAGTTACAGAAACCCTCACATCTGGACCTTGTCCTGGGATCAACTTCAGAGCCAGAGGAGGTTTGTTTGGCAGACAGGGAAAGATGAGTCCTTGTTAGAGACTCAGAGAAGCTAAGTGATCCTTTCATGAGAAAGAGAATGCCCTTGGTAGAGAAAAATGACAATTTTGAAATGAGTCTACTAGCTATGATTGGCAGCAATGTACATTTAGTATCTAAACAGATAAAGTGTTGAAGATCGTTTCCTTACAAGTTCAACTTTGTAGTTAAGAGGAAAAAATACATAAATGTATAAAATTTAGTATCCAAATAGGTGAGGTGTTGAAGATAGTTTTCCTTATAACTATAACTTTGTGATTGTTAAAAGAAATCAGGTAAAATCTATGGAATGTATCTAAAAATACAGTATATTTAATTTTAAAAGCAGAATAAAGTCATTTGATGACATAACTTCATTATGTTTTCACTTAATTGAACCTGTAAATTGAAAGAAGTATGGTGAATGTTGTCTCCAAACAAATTTTGCACAGCTGACTATTCCTTACTGTATCACTGCAAAATCTGTGCTCCAGTTACTTTAGGGGAAAAAAGTTCATGCCATCATCCAAGTGGAAGCCAGAAAGCCACAATAATGTGATATTGTTGTCCAAATGTAGGAAAGTATTTCATACTTATCCTGAAAAAGAAGCTAATGAATGCTCAGAAATACAATTTTGAGTATACAGCATGTATTAGATTACATAAGCTGTTAAAATTTAAACTCGTGCTGCATGCTTTGTTTCATAAAACTGCAAATTATTTTGAAATAAATCTGTGCAAGAAATTGTATGCATAAATGATGGATTTAAGCACATTTAGCAGAAAAATTAATGAAATTCAAATTTAAAAGTTCAAAAGCAAATTATTATTAAATACAAACTAAAATTTATATTTGGAGTTTTGCCCACATCAAAAAAGACAGTTTAAGCTACCAACTGTATTCAAGCTTTACAAAAAGACCCCAGCACCCAATGCCATTAAATTTTAAAAACTAATTGAAGAAAGTTAGAAACAGTTTCTAAGCAACTATTTTAATAGTATGCCAATAATATGTAAAGTGTCATAATTTAGAAAATTTTATAATTAGTGTGATGTGATTATTTAAAATTTAACACTCAATTGACAAACAGCCATTTTTTACCAAGCACTTAGAAACATGGAGAAACTGAGTTATCAATAATCTAGGTAATTTGGAATTGTGTGTTTCTGAACTCGTTAATAATCCATAGTTTTCTGCTTTTTTCATAGGAAAATTGTGCAAATTTACCTTTGGCTGACCACTAATTTGTAGCAGTTCTGATAATGAATGAAAGTAAATTGTGTTAAAGAAAATACCACTAGATTATTCACTATTATATTAGTCTTTTCTAGTTTTGGTTAGGGTTTAAATCTTACCACTACATTGTATATATTGTGAACTTTTTTTTTGCTGTAAAGCAATCAAACAAGACATACCCATTTTTAAAAATTAACCTTGAGCATGCTTATTGTAGAAACCTTTCTGAAACAATATTTACAGAAAAGGCAGTTTTTCACCCCAGTTTGTACTATGTTTCTATGCTAATACTGTGGGGTTTTAAGTAATCAGTTTAAAGCAGCAACTTCTGTGTTTCCTATTGTTTTGATTCTGCTGTGAGAGTTTCACAATGTTACTAGGCCCGTAGCTATGACATCCAATTCCATAAACACCTACTAAGTTGTTTAGAGCTCTAAAGTGGTAAACCACTTCACTCACATCAGCATACCACATGAAATATGGACCAGTTGAGGTAAATATCTCACTGGGAAATGGTCTGCTGTGGAATCCAATTTGACCCCCCTAGGAAATGTAATTAAGGTTTTCTAACCTCTCAGATTGAGGGGCACTCAAGGCAGGACATACTAACATTCTATTACACACCGTTACCTCCCTTTGGTTGGCATGATGGAGGGGACATCAAAAATTTGATACCAACGGCAGCTTTGAAATGAGTGTATGTGCCAGCAGTTTGATAAACTGAGGGGAAAACCCAGAGAGATGTATGTTAGTAAGGAGATATGTATTTAGATTAATACCCCAAAGGGCATGTTTCATTATTGGGCCACTATAATGGTACTCTGGTTAATGCGGCATTCAACATCTGTACACAATACATTTTCCTCTGGTGCTATTCAGGCTCAACACATCTTTGCATAAAGATCTTTGTATCAATTAACTCCTTCCTTGATTATTTTTAAAGAATCTGTCATTTTTCAACTTTTCTGATAGTTTCAGAGTTTACTATTACATCTTATTACCAGTTAAAGATTTGCACATGATGATTGATATACTAGACGTTTTCCTGCTGACTTTTTGATGATTTATCTTTCTAGTCTTTATATGCTTTTCCTTTCATGTCCTTAGTGATTATGCTGAAGCAGAATACCAGTGGGGTATTTGACACTTAATTCATAATTCAGTCCTAGCATGTGAAGTGCAGTAGTTCCTACACAATGCCTAATAAACTGCATTAGATATTTTGGTTGTCTATCTGATATCAAAATTCAATTTAGGGAAAACAATCCAGTTTCTAATTTGATATATTAAAAATATGCAGCTTTCACTTTACATAAAATTGTTTCACCATTGTGGAGATTCAATCTGTATTATAAAATGAAAGTTTGTTTTACAGCAAAACTCTGTTTTTTATCACCTGTCAAACTTCTGACATCAAAAATATACTAAAATTTTCTAAAGTCTAAGGCAGTAGCTAGATGTCACCTGATTTTTAAATATAAAGTTAAATGGTCCAGTCACATGGGTGCTTTCTAATTATTTTGTGTTTAGCATAATCTAAAACATGGATGGAAAACATCTGGCTCTCTGCTTAATTTCATCCAATTTACAAGGCAAGTATCAAAGCTAAATCCCCATTTATGCTTATAGTTTGGAAAATGTGTCCTAATTTGAAAAGTATTTGGTGGCAATTTCCTAAAAGTCTACATAAGGTACCATGAAAGCTTATTTCTCTTATTTCTGTCTTTGGGAGTTTTATTCTTATATTTTGTGTACTGTTTTCTTTTTGCATTCTGTATGTCTCTTTACTTATGGATGTCAAATGTCTTTTGTGTTATGTGTCTTTCTTCCTTTCTTGATACAGCTATGCCCATATTTGATTTTGCTCCTTATTATGCAGAATTTGACAGAATTCTAAACTCTAGTTATTTAAAATCTATTGTATTTTTAATAGTTATATTCCTTGGTCTAAATTTTACATGTGAGTTAATTGAATCTATTTGTAGATTCAAGTCATATTTTGTTTATAGTATGTACATGTAGTATGTACATGGCTAGTGTCTACTGTGGACTTGTGAACATTGGTGAGAAAAATATTTCCATCACAATTGAAAGTAAACTTTTAAAATATGATAGATAAAATATTATGGTTTGAAGTAATCTCAAGTTGGATACACTTAATAAAAAGCATACCCCCAAAAAATAGATTACCTAACCTATAAACATAGCCCTTTATTG